TAGATAGATAGATAGATAGATAGATAGATAGATAGATAGATAGATAGTGCAACTTAGATATTATTGTAATGTTCGGGACCGGAGGAGATTTTGTCAATCTGGACCTTTAGGAGTTGTAACTGAATACCCTGCTCTACACGCTCTTAGTATGCAGACTGGAACTGTGACACACAGGTGGACTCACTGTTCCAGTCCTGATACTGAGGAGAACCGGAGCTCTAAAGTGAGCGCTGTAGTCTGGTCCGCTCCATCTCCACCCACAGTGCAATGAGGTCGGCTTCCGTCTTCCTGGCGCTGATGACTGACTCTGGATCGGCATCATTGGATCCTCTGCATGAAGTGGATACATGTCGGATCAGATTCAGCTCGGAGTGAAGAGAATAAAGAACAAGTGAAGGACGCCAACAGCTTGCTGTACCTCAGATCCAGATGATGGGCTCCTCCAGAGATGTTGACAGCAATCACTGATGAGCTCAAGGTCTTGCGCACCTAAACAGCAGAGAGCTGATTGAGTCAGACTGAAAGCAGTGGCTTCATAGTTCACGATGTCTGCTCGCTCCGTTTACTGCCTTACCCCTCCGTTGGCCCATGGGTCCAGGTCTCCGTTGGAGAAGATGATGTTGCTGGCTGTGGAGAGGGCTGAACACAAGGAGACAACACTGGTGCTCATTGCACACACAAAACACTGTGATGGTGTCTGCCTGTCACTGACCTCCATCCCTTCATTCTGTGCCTCAGGCTCTCCTCTCACCACCTGTGACTTCTGTGTTAGTATTTCAGTTCTATCTATTCATGAGTTTCTGTTTGTTCTCATCTTGTTATTGTTACTTTCATCAGTCTCTCCTGTAATTGCTGCCTCAATCCACCACCAGTCCAGCGGTTACTTTCAGAAACATGTCCTACACGTACACATAACTCCGTTTGTTTTACTTTGTCTTTCTTCTTTATGACAATAGAAATGTCTAGTGACTCGTGTACAGTAGCACAAGCCTGTTACTGGCCTCGTTAACCAAGCCTGTCCCTCAGAGTCCTCGTCAGGGACCCAGAGACTGAGCATGAGAACAGGCTGTGAGGACATCCTCCTCTAGGTGCTACGATATCTCACTGTGCTCACCGTCACCCCAGAACTGGGTTTTGAGCCAGTCAGCTCGTGGAACCACAGCCCAGCGTTTGGCACAGTAGAGCTGGCGGTCCGTCTTGGTGAAGGCCATCGGAGGAAACATGTCCGTCACGTTGTTGCTCTCAAAGCACAGATCGATCTCTGTGCACGCCTGCAACCAGAACAGACCGTCATACACATACACATCGTGCACGTCGTATGTACACGTGTCACACAGCAGTGCGGCGGCCATGTTCTCATGGCTTTCAAGTTCTTCTTGTGTGAGGTTAGGAATGTGTTCCCTGTGTTCTAAGCCCCGTTTGATTCAAACAGTCATAACAGAAGATAAAAGGCCGAGATGAGTAATAACTCAGATGGATCAGTGAGCAGTCATTTGACTCTGTGGATCAGCTTCTATAGAGCCGGACGATCAAACTCTAGAACCGATACCAGCTGATAACGGTCGGTGCTCACTGACCTGCGTACAACTCAAACATTAAAACCAGAGAGATATAGCGCCTCATAATGCAGCATCAGAGCTCCTCTTGTGTGTCTTGTTCTTCTTCTTAGTAACGAACAGGGTGATGACGTTGATTTTAACATAGTTCTACAGGCTCGTAGCGCTACGAGCTGAGGCTACTAGAGGAGGACTGTGTTTGGATGCGGTGCTGTGTGCTGGTGGAGTACCTGATAGTCCCAGGCCAGGCTGTTCAGACCCAGTCCACAGCCGGTGGGATCGGCACACTCCACGTACAGACTGTACAGGTCGAAGCAGGGCAGCAGCCCACTGGAGTTGTACACAATCCCTGCGGGATAGCATGTGAACAGGAGTTACACACTTCACTGGAGCTTACTAGTGCGTCTCAGAGATCAGAGACGTACTGCACATCATCAACTTTCAGCCTTTTCTATTCACGTCCATGAGTACTTCTCCCAGAGAGTACCCTGTACCGTACAGAGAGACACACACTCGTACTCATTCATGCTCCTGATCGTGTGCTCAAAGAACAATAAGCATCTTCAAGTATTTTGGTAAATACAGAATCTGACCAGCTGGTATTATTATTATTATTATTCTCCCCCCCCCCCCTACCTGCAGTGTTCCTGAGGCTGGTGAGTAGATCAGGTCCACTCAGCATAGTTTCACAGGCCACCTGAAAATAAAAGTGATGTCATCACCATCACCCCACTCATGTCACTTACATGATGTACATACGGTACACCCTGTACACTCGTCATTCATACATTTCATCACCATTTCTTGCTTTAAACGCGTTTACAAGCGTTTTGTTGGCAGATGGGCACCTTGTGAGCAGATGTCCAATCAGGTGTCTGTACCTGGCTGAAGCACGAGCTCGCTCAGTGCTGCTACACAGAC